CTCCAGAGTCTAGGGTTTGTGTGCTCTATGCCACTCGATCAGACGCTTGGGAATGTACTTGTTGATGTTTGGCATGCATGCAGCTGCTTGGCCATGGAAACATATTCCATGAAGCACCTGATTTTGTGCTGATATTAATGCCAGTGGACGTTTTAAATCTTCAGTTATGGAATCAGCAGGGCATTGGTGACTTTTACACACCATGCACCTCAGCACTTGGTGAGCTGACCTCGCTCTGTGACTTTATGTGGTCTTCCGCTGTGTGGCTAAGCTGCTGCTCTTCCTAAATGCTCCCAGTTTCCAATATTACTTACAGTTGACCATGGAATATCTAGCAGGGATGTAATTTCACAGTACCACTTCAATTCACTGAGCTCTTTAGAGCGACTGATTTTTATTTTTCACAAATGTTTGTAAATGTAGACTGCATGGCTAGATGCTTGATTTTATACACTTGTGGCAATTGGCCTGATTGAAACACGTGAATTAAATTATTAAGAGGTGTGTCCCAATATTTTGTCCATATAGTGTAGCTGAACACCATTTAGTGATTTTGATTACAGTAGCACATATAAGTTTACAAAATAAACCATTAAATTTGCAAGGCAGGTTTGCACCAAAACGCGCATCGGGCGTTTTCTCCTTTATAGGTTATGGGCACTACCCTGTTCACTTTGATACACATTTGATACATTTTATGTAGCCCTCTTTTTATCTACTCACTCTATGCCTATCTAGCTAGTTTTACAGGGAGAGAGGCTGTGTTAGTTAATTATTCCAGTTCAATTTTGACTGGCAGATTTTTCTCATTACTATCATCCTATATATTCCCTATTTCTGGCTGTTATCTGTCTCCCAGGTTTTGTTTAAGGATATCAACACATATATTGTTGGTATCTGATATTCTATGATTTGATAGATATCTTTAGCTATTTCTACTAATTTATATTATTTGATATTTAATGTTTTGGCTATCCTGCCTATATTTGGGACTTAATTGTTGGTCTCTTAAATTAGGGCAGCATCAAATCTATGTGTTCCTTGTCTCTGGGATGACTGACATATGTCTTAAATGTAGTTATATTTAGTTTACTAGGCTTTGCCCTTTTTGAGCCATCACATTAAAGCTCATTTTACTTATGATTTCCTCTACCTGGATCCCCCTTCCTAGTACTTAGACATACTACAGGCATAGGAGTGTATCTGTGTGGTTACATTTTTTAGGGTGTACCTAATATTAAGTTTTCTGTTCTTTTTTCCTCTATTTTGATAAAATAATATCACCTAAGACCACAGATATATCCAGGAAATACAGCGACTCCCATCTGTATGAGAGTCAATGTATTATCTTTTCTTTTTGTGTATATTTATTCAGGGTTAGACTCTTAGAGACCCCTGGAGTCTCATCTAGGTGCTTAGGATCACTGGTTCTCACTTTGATATTTCATTTTCTTGTGATTGTCACGGTGGGAACCATCGAACTGTCCTGCTCTCTTGACTGTTTACCATTTAGTGATTTTGATTAGTAGAACATATAAGTTTACAAAATAAACCATTACATTTGCAAGGCAAATATAAAATATGTGAAAATAAAATAATACCATAAATTTTGAAAGAATTGGTGCTAAAATGCTAATAAGGCTCAAACTATTCTCTATGAGGTATCAACGTTCACAAATGGTAGGCATTTTAGTTGTAATTTTAATTGTCAAACTGCTATTATCCCAAAAAATGCAGAATAGGCCAATCAAATTAATCTAGTCTAACTGTAAAAACTTAAATAGTCAGGTGTCATATATAGCACTGTAACTTTGCAAGATAGTATAAAAGGCATACATTAGGGTTTTAATTTGTTCATAAGCAGTTGCTGAGCATAATTTGCTGGTTTGATCACAGGAGCACATATCAGATTTGAAAAATGGACAGTTAAAATGGAATATGTATTTAAAAAGTGCCAAATAATAGGAATCAGTAGGGTAATTTGAACAGTCAAGTGTCTAAAAAGCCCAAATTGAGACATAGGCCTATCAAACCCATCTATAAAAATTCTAACTGTAAAAACTTAAATTGTCGGGTCTCTTATATGGCGATGAAGATTAACAGGATTTTGACAAAGGCATACTTTGTGGGTATCGTTTTACTCAGAATATGTATCGGATACAAATGAGAAAAAAACACAAAAATTCTACTACAAATACTTAGCAGATATTGTCAGCTAAATGGCTAAGTATCAAAGTACTATTTTTGTGTGGCAATTCTGTTTTCTTTAATACCTATTAGGTTTACAAGACAAAAATAACAAACTGTAAAATTATTTTAGATGGAAATTTTATTTTACTCCTTGTATTTTGTTACCCGTAACTACCAAAAATAAACTGAATCCTAGACATATTAAGTACTCTTTAAATCAGGACAAATAAATTAAAGGAACCCTATAGGGTCAGGAACACAAACATGTATTCCTGACCCTCTAGGGTTAAAACCACCATCTAGCCCTCCTGGGCCCCTCATGCCTCCATAAATATAGCAAAATCTTACTGTATTCAAGCCTGAAGCTGTAACTCTGCATGCTGTTAGACTCAGAAAAACAAGCAGTCTGCTGACATGTGGTAGCCTGATCCAATCACAGTACTTCCCCATAGGATTGGCTGAGACTGACAAAGAGGCAGATCAGGGGCAGAGCCAGCATGATTCAAACACAGCCCTGGTCAATCAGCATCTCTCATAGAGATGAATTGAATCAATGAATCTCTTTGAGAAAAGTTCAGTGTCTGCACGCAGAGGGTGGAGACACTGAATGTTTGGATGCATTTTAGGCAGCCAGACCCAGGAAGGATCTCTAACAGCCATCTGAGGAGTGGTCAGTGAAGTTATCAATAGGCTGTAATGTAAACACTGCATTTTCTCTGAAAAGACAGTGTTTACATCAAAAAGCCTGAAGGTAATCATTCTACTCACCAGAACAAATTCAATAAGCTGTAGTTGTCTTGCTATCTAACATAGAAATGGGAAAGGTATATTTCCCCTTCCCCATTTCTATGTTAGATAGCTATTTATCCTCTTAGAGCCATTCACACTATTTAACCCCCTAAGGACACATGACGTGTGACATGTCATGATTCCCTTTTATTCCAGAAGTTTGGCCCTTAAGTGGTTAATGTATTGTGGTATAAGATTTATACCAGCTACTGGGTGCTTGATTCATATATTTGCCAGTTAAGTTTAGTTTATGCAGTCCTCTATGGTTCATTTTCCAATCTCCCTACCATGATCTGTTTTTTTTTTCCTTCCCGACCTCACTGCGAGTAATTGTGATAGGTTCACCTACATTATTTTGATTTCGGCAGACTCTGTCATATTGCCCCCACTTCCCATTGCAGTTTATTCCTTCTTCACAATATCACTAATTTTACTCTTTATTTCTGGGTACAGATCCCTAAGTGAGACCCTTACTTGTTGTTTACTGCCTCACTCCCTTCTATTGGGCATATTTTCCCCTTATTAGAGGTTAGAGCTAACCCGCTTGCATTAGCGGAACATATTAGTTCAACATTTATTTTTGTAGCATCTATATTGTATTTTTTATTCACACTTATTTGCATACACATATTTTTATTTATATATTCATACATTTATACCTGTACTATCCGGCTTTTTTCCTGATCGACCTGTCATATATATATAAGCTGGTATTATTTCCAATTTATCCCCTAATTTATTTCTATTTATTATAATTTTCTATTAAGTCATTTATTCACTTATGTAGGGATTTCAGTTCCCCCTTTTTTCCCCACCACATTATACACTAATAGCTCAAATATTTCGAATATTTCTATTTTTATGGTTCACCTTCC